ACCAGTACTGCCCACATTGAGCTGCAGCCACATCTGTCACTAGGTCTCCAGCAGTCCAGCTCAGCTCCCCTGGTTGGTCCAAATTGGGCTTCAGTTTCAGACAGCCTTTTTCTCTTTTTTACCCTCTACTACAACAAGAAGCTACGGCTATCTATACCCAATGTCTCCTGAAAGAGTGGGACATGTTAGGGGCAAAATAAGTTTTCTGTGGTGATAACTCCGGACCCTTACTGGTCTCTGTGTCTACCAGGAAAGAGACAGATGAAGTTGAACCCCCCACAGATCTTTAAACTCTGGCTTCTGTGGTCTCATCTTGACTTCTTTTTTCATAACATCTGCTTTTATTTATAGCTGTAATCGCTTATCTGAAATTCCTGAGTAATGAGCAGCGCTGCCTCCATTTATTCCACAAGTTTTATCGAAAATGTGGTGTGGTCATGGCGGTTATTATGTTTGTGGCCTTTAGTATCAGACTACGTAGGTCCAAAGAGTGCTTTTGACACGTATAGGCTGGGTAATGGTGTTGAGTCATTTTAATGCTCAGTGCCTCAGTTTCCTCACCTGACAATGGGGACAGCAGTAGTATGCCCATCCCTGCACAGTCAGAAGGAGTTTTTTAAAAATGAGATAATGCATATAAAGTATTCAGAACTGGATTTCTCACATAGGATGCATAAAATTTGTGAGCTCCTTTGCTGTAAAATCTGAATTGAATGCATTTATGTGTTTTAAGCATTTCCTACGCACCAGGCATTGCACACACACTTTACTTATATATCACTTTATTCCCAACAGTCCTCTGAGGGCAGATAGCATAGGTTCTGCTTTTTTTATTTTTTATTTTTGAGTGGAGTCTCACTCTATCACCCAGGCAGGAGTGCAGTGGCACACTCACGGCCACTGCAGCCTTGACCTACTGGGCTCAGGGAATCCTTCTGCCTCAGCCTTCCAAGTAGTTGAAACTACAGACATGCACCACGCTGCCTGGCTTGCTTTTTGATCTACTGTAGAGGTGAGGTCTTGCCCAGTTGCCCAGGCTGGTGTCAAACCCATGGGCTTAGGCAATCCTCTCGCCTTGGCCTCCCAAAGTACTGGGATTATAGGCGTGAGCCACTGCACCCTGCTTTTTTATGGAGAAAACTGAGGCTCAGACCTGAAGGTGCTTGGTCCAAAGTCCCTGATGCCAAATCTCACTCTCCATTTGTCACTCATCCGTGATTTGTTTTAGATTTCTTTTTAACAACAGGAACAGTTCATTTTTCAATTGAAAGCAGATCAAAAGTAGATTTTGGGGAGTGTCAAAACAAGAAGGGGAGCCTAGAGTTCAGCTCCCTTAGCCTCCCCCTTGCCACTGCCACAGGATGCCTGGGGCTGTGCTGTCCCCTACCACAGCCACCTGCCACGTGTGCAAATTTCCATTAAAATCGAAATTCATGAAACTAAAGAAAATGCAAGACTCAGTTGCTCAGTTGCACACATCGAGTTCTCAATGCCCACATTAGACAGCGCAGTTACAAAGCATTTCAATCATTCCAGAAAGTTCTATTGAATAGTGTTGACCTGGAGTTTGTAATGCAGAGTTTGGAAGTATCAATGACGAGCCCTAGCCTCCGTCGTGTCTTAGAATCTTGTTTGCTCCTAGATAAAAGAGGAAAATCATCATCATCATCATCATCTCCCTACTGGGCAGTTGTGAGGCCCCAGTGGGATGATGTATGTAATGCTGTGCACCCTTATATAAAGCACCGTGCAGACACTAGCCATCTCTATCAGAGAAGGTGTGTAAATCTCAGGATGTTTTTAAACATGCAAGTATTTGTGGCCATTGCATTTAGATCACAGCTTTCTAGAATTATTGATGAGAGAGAGAAATCTAGCTCATGTGACCCTTTGGTTTCCTTTCTGTGCTGTCATCGATTTGCTTCTGATGTGGCCACAAGACCACAGTCAGGCCCCGGGGGCTGGCCTATCTATGAAACTCTGTGGTCAGACCCCTCTGAGAAGATGACCACCCAGCCTAGGTCAGGCAGGCCAAGGTGTGTTGTTTTAGTCAGAATCAGCCATGTCTTTTGCAGTTGTCCTGCCTCTGACTTGATGGCATCATGCTTTTATAAACTTTGCTCCCCGAGAAAAGTTTCTTTCCGTTCATCTGGATCTTTGCTGCTCAGCTAAAAATATATGTCATAAATTATGGTACTGATTCACAGAAATCTGTGTCTGTCCATAAAAACCAAACAATTTAAACAGCTATAGAACAATTTTCATATGGTTATCTGGTATATGTTGAGATTTCTGCCCCAGTGCAGGATGGGTTAACAGGATGGGAAAAGGTTTCACTCCGTGAATACCAACAGATAACCTTAATGTCTGAATGAGTTTATGTGCACTTACGTGTGTTTATGCTTATTTTTTGAGAAACTGAGATATGGAGTTAGGTGAGACTTAAAAAGTCGAAATAAAACCAAGGTTCTTGGCATTGCCATGGAAACTTGGATATATGAAGTATTAACATTGCAAGCATCAGTTTTATCATGAGGACAATGCCATCCATGGCCGGAAGTCCTCAGGATTCATGTGTTATCAAGAATCTCAATTTCTCTATTGATAGTCAACAGAAGGTGAGTACTGACTTACAAAAATCTTAGAATGCCACAGCTGAATGAGTCTCTCAGATGAACCAGCAATCCAAAAGGGAGGAAGTGATTTTTCTGAGGTTGCACCATTATCCAAGCCTGGACTAGAACTCAGATTCTTTCTACCTAATACCCTAGTGCTTCTGTTACACACCCTTCTACCAGCATATACAAATAGCTATTGACATTATAGAACTCTCCATCTCATATTTTCACAGGTTCCAGTAGGGCTGGCTGTCCAGAAAAGCTGCTACCTCTTGGCTTGTCAGCTTTTGGTTACCATCACCACTGTCAATGCCCAGTTTTCTTCTGCTGCTGCCTGGGTGATCAGATTCATTTTAATTACTCCAAGAGCCTAAGATCAAGTCTCTGATCCTCCAGCCTTGAGATCAAAGCTTCAGAGCCTTTCTATGGCTGAGATGAGCCTAGAGTCTTGTAACATCTCAAACTATTACAGAAACAAAAAAATTAAAACGAAGAACGCAGCTGTAAACCTTCTGAATAGTTTTGTTTCCATAGGGAGTCCTTCAGCAACTGTCTTTGAAAGGATGCAGCATTTCACATCCTTTCTTTGCCACTTTTATTTTTCTTTGCTTCTGTGTTTTATGTCTTCTTGTTCAAGAAAGAAAGGCAATAATGTTGAGAAAGTGTCACAAAGTTGAGTCATCTCCAGTTTAGTTTTCTTATCTGTTTTAGAGTTGAGGCGTCCATCCCTGTGTTCAAGGGTATCATTTCAGCCTTGTTGAATAACTTTCACATTTGGAAACAATTTGCCTGTCCATGGATAGGGATCTAGGTGATGATTAAGCACAGCTATGCCATGGAAGAGACGACCTGATGCTTGTTTTTGGAGGGCGCTGACTGGGTAGGTGTATGCAGGTGGTGGTAATGTTCCACATTTTGAACTGCTTGGTGATTTCAAGGCTATATACATAAGTAAAAATTTATTGAGCATCTTATTGCATATAAGTTATACTTCAATAAAAATAAATATATCAACAAAGAATTTAAAAGTGGCATGAAAATACATTCACTATGTGTGAAATCAGAGAAGCAATTTGTGAAATTGTATGGTATAATCATATATGCAGGCTCAAAACAGGGACTGGCAAACGATAACCCATGGACCAACCTTGTTTTGTAAATAACATTTTCTTGGAACAGAACTGAGTTAATTTGTTTACATATTTCCTTTGCTGCTTTGGCATGTGTTGGTTTCCTGGGGTTGCCATAACAAAGAGCCAGGAAAGGAGGGGCTTAAACAACCGAGCTGTACTGTCTCACAGTTCTGGGGGCTGGAAGTTCTGGATCAAGGTGTTTCAGAACCATGCCCCCACTGTAGGCATCAGGGAAGGATCTGTTCCAGGCCTCTCTTAGCTTCTGGTAGTTTCTGGGCTTGTGGCAGCATAATCCAAACTTCACATAGTATTCTTTCATGTGCATGCATGTCTGTGTTCAAATTCCCCCTTGTTAGAAGGACATCAGTCATAGTGGATTAGGGGTTTACCCTACTTCAGTATGATGCCATCTTAACTTATTGCATCTGCAATTACCCTATCTCCAAATAGGGTTACATTATGAGGTTCTAGGGGCGGAGACTCCAACATATGCATTTTGAAGAGGGAGCACAATTCAGCCCACAACACCCTACCACAGCAGAGTTGCAACAGAGACTGTAGGGCCCACAAAGCTTAAACTATGCATTTTCTTGTCTTTACAGAAAAAGTTTGCCAACCCTTGGTGTGTGTGTATGTGTATGTGTGTATGTGTATGTGTGCATACACATAAACAATTTGGAAGGCAGTTCACCAATATGTTAACAGAGGTTGCCTCTGAGTTATAGAATTATGGGTAATTTTGATTGTGTTTTTAATATTTTAATATATTATTTGGATTTCTAAAACTTATTGTGCAGTAATTTTTGTATTATAAACAAGCAGTAAACATATTTCTTTTGGGAGGAAAAGACATTATTCCTCTATAGTCCCTGTCCCCTGCCACCCAATTCTCCCATCCCTTAATGGTTTATTTTGTTCTGATGCAAACCTTTCTAAATAGGCCACTGTTCTCCACTGCTGGGAGTGCTAAGGACAAACACTTAACAAACCAGCAAACTCAACTGTTTACTCACTTGGGTATTTGGATTCTTCATGTCTTTATTTAGCTGGCTCTTGTAAGTTGGAGAGAAAAGGTTCTGGCTTTTATCTCCTCATTAAAAATAGATCCTTTTATGATGAGGGGATGGAGCAGCCATGAGTCATCATCTCCGGCATGAAAGAAAGTATGTGATGCTGGATCAGGCCGCAGGAGCTGGGCCTTGAGATGGTACCTGGCCGCCCCCATGACTCTGGTTTCTTGTCATTTCAGGAAGCTGGATGCTTTCATCTACGATGCAGCAGTCTTAAATTACAAGGCCGGGAGAGATGAAGGTTGCAAGCTGGTGACCATCGGGAGTGGGTACATCTTTGCAACCACCGGTTACGGAATTGCCCTCCAGAAGGGCTCTCCTTGGAAGAGGCAGATTGACCTGGCCCTACTTCAGTTTGTGGGTGATGGTAAGACCCTGGGTCACCCCTGACTCTGGGGGGACTTGAGACCCTCACACTCTCTCTGTTTGCTAATTGACTTTCCAGGAGATCTTGGTAGGAGCCTTTGCTCACTGAAAGGGTTTATTGAGTGCTTATCATGTGAATGGAAACCAATTCTGGAAAACTAAATTTAAAAGAGTTCTAAGGGTACAGAAGCAGCTCTCTCAGTAAATTTAGGAAAGCTAAGTAGGTTTAAAGAAAAACAGAAGCCAGGGCAGCCCTGCTGTCTTAATGGTACACATTCATAGGTCCTCACTCTAAAGCAGTGGTTCTCAAACCAGGGAGGGCTATTTTGTCCCCCAGGTGACATTTGGCAATGTCTGGAGACATATTCAATGATCATGACTGGGAAGTTGATTGCTCCTGGCATCTAGTGGGTAGAGACTAAGGATAAAACATGCTGGTGGACATCTTACAGTGCTCAGGTCAGCCCCCTCTACCATAAAATATGGAATTATCCAACTCCAAATGTTGGTATGGTTTACTCTAGAGCATTACATAACTAGGCTATAGTAAGTCCCACTCTCTATTCCCTAATTTCTAGTTTTCAAATTCCAGAGAAAGGATTCCTGATGCATCTTTCCCGGCTTCATCAGGAGTGACTAGAGGTGGAGTCATGTTGCGCTACCGTAGTAGCTCATGTTACTATCCTATGGAGCAATGCAGGGAAGGCAATCTCTAGAAAACGGCCAGTGAGCAGAAAATCCCATGGGTTTTTACCATCGTTCACCCCTTACTGCCTACCATGCACAAAAAAATTACAATTTCCACCCTCACAGGGCTTCCAGTCTATGGAGATGATGGCACATATAGAACTATACAGCCATGACTGGCTGTGTCTCGAGAGGCATCTCCTCCTGTCTTCCCTTTCTGCTTCATAGCGGGTGATCTCACCACAACCCCGAGTTTCCTGACATGGCTTCTAGAGGCCTGCCATAGTTCAAATGGCAGGTTGGTTTCCTTGTGAACTGCGGAAATAGGGAAACTAAGGTCAACACAGACTGCACTTCAACACCAAAAATAGGCTCAGTGCGAGTAGGATGCAAAAGCTCGGGCCGTAGGGCAGAAGCCCCATTCATATAGGTGGAGGCTGTATTCATATAGATAGTGCTTTGCCCATCTAGAGTGGGGAGAGGAGCATCCAGCCACCACTACAGCCAAGTGCAATACCAAAATAGGCAGAGGTTAGCGCAGGGGGTTGTTGTGAATTGGAGTGAAGTGCGTAGTTCCCTGCTGCTTCTTCCGTTCTCTCTACTCCAGAATTAAACCCTAGATTCTCACAGTGCCATCAAGCATTCTAAATTTTTTTATATTTAACTCTCAAATAAGAACATATGATTCTTTAAATCTCCTATGGGGCATTTGTACCTTTCTCAGATCACTGGCCATGTTGTCTGCTGTGTACTAATGATTTGTGGCTGTGATGGTCAGCTTTTGCTGTGAAATCTTGGAAGCATACAACAATAAGCATTTATTTTGCTCATGGGAGTGTGTTGAGTGGAGAAGTTCTGCCTCTAGCCGCGATAGATTGGTGGTTCTCTTCCCTGCTGCAAGTCCTCAGGTCAACAATGTAGTCTCTGCGCCACACATGTTTATTCTGGGTCTCAAGCTCAAGAGGCAGCAGCTACCTGGAGGAAGTGTTTTTCCTGGCTATGTCAGAATCACACAAAGGAACATTTAACTGCACATGCACAATTCAAGTATATGTTCATCTTGTGCTTGTCTGCTAACATCCTTCTGTCCAAAGCAAGACAGATAGCCAAGTCCATGGTCAAGGAGTTGAAGGTATAGCCTACCTTTCATGGGCAGAAGTTTGGGGTTTTATGGCAAGGAGTGTGGACACTGAGAAGACACTGAAGGATTGGGGCCAATTGATCCATCTACCATAGGGAATGCCTAAGCATCCCTATTCAGGATAAAGGACTCATCAAATAAGAGTCTTATTTCCAACATTTACACTATAAAACCCTGAACTTAACAAGCAATTGGTCAATGAAGGGTTGAATACATAAATACATGTATGGATGAATGGTTGGTGTTGAGATGTATTTCACTTGACAGGAAACCTTTCAGTGTGATAAGTATCTGTCATATTAGTGAGTTCTACCTCTAGCCCTCTCCACCACTGTTGTCACTCTTGCAACACCTATTATGAAACAGCTAACACATTTAGGGACTTGGATATGCCAATCATCACACTGAATGTATTACATGTGTTCCTTAATTTAAATCTTCAAAACAACCTTATGAGGTTAAACATTGCTTATCCTCATTTTACAGAGGAGGAAACTGAAACTCAAAGGACTTGTAAGTTCCCTAGCTAGTAAGTGGCGAAGTCCCTACTACAGAGTCCTCTGGTCTAGAAGGGAGTCAATTAGACAAGACTCTTGTTTCATTTAATTCTCTCAGATAGTTATCAAAGGTGACTAATTATTCTTAAGGTATATAGACCCTTTAGGAGGGAACCATTTAGCGCACATCTGAACTAAATCTACTGTCCCAGTTACAAATACTTTTGTGAAAGAAGTGATCATTTTAGCCTCAGTTTACTGATCTGTGAATGTGTACAGACATATTTACCTAATAAAATTGGTATGAAGATGAAATGGAGAATACACGTAAACCACTGAGCTTAGCACAGCCTCTGGAATATAGAAATGGTTCAATCAATGTTAGCTGTCACCATTATCATCACCACCACTACCATCACCATCATTATCAACACCACCATCATCTTCTACACCATCACCATCACCATCCTCATCACCATTATCATCAGTTGCCATCCTCGCCACTGTCCTCTTCACCACCATCATCATCACAATGTCGTCCTCTTTCTCCTCCTCGTCATCACCAAACCATCCACGCACAACTCTAGCGTTAAATACAACGTATTTAGTGTTATATTGCCAATAATATAGCCAAGTTGGTATCATGTAAACGACCTTTGTGGTGCTAAACAAAAAATGTCCTCTTCATGACAAATGAAAAGATAAAAATAAAAGCATCCAGATAGGCCAGAAATTTGTTCCTTGTGTTTATAGAATATCTAAGCTCTCACAGATATTTCCTGTCCTACTCAGACTGTTGGGCTAGCAAGGTGTCTTCTTGACTTCATTCCCAGAGGTCATCTGGAGGCAAAGACATGGGAGAGAAAATGTCGTTGCTCCAGGGGGCATCTTCAGATAATCTTCCGGAAAGCCATGTCCAATTCTGAATGTCTCTCTAGGAATAAATACGTGAATTAATGCAGCTGCATAAATATTTCACTTATCTTATGCAGCTTCAACAGGATTAATTATGTGCTAAAATTAGACCTGTAAAGAGCACAGTGCTGAGCAGTACGTAATTATTATTCATCCTCTAGAATGGCGTGTTTCTCTCTTGTTACAGAGTTGCTTCAGTGGACGATTACGAGTCTAATGAGTGTCCAAAGTATAAAAAAATTTTCTAATGAGCTGTGTAAATATAACCTCAGAGTGGAGTGTTTGGTTATTGGGGAACCTCTTACGTGAAGTCTGCCACGCATTTCCCTAGGAAAATGCTACTGATCTGCCTTGAGTGATACACAGGACCCCACGAGACATTGCCTTCTCTTTCCCATCTAATTGTCTGTGTCCTTTCTGAAATGGTGATGTGTACCATGGGATATGTAGCTCTCAGTCGTTTAGAAACAATGCTAGTGGACGTTTTTCAGCACTGATCATCGTTAACTGAGAAACTGATACCTTGGTAGGCACTGCTGTTCCTAGAAGGCAATGTTATGGTCTTTTTCTTCTTACCTTCAAGGAACTTACAGTTCAGTTGGTTGATAATGTATACACTTAATATCTCTAATCCTGAAATAGAAAATATTGATTATAAGTCATATATATTAATTCATGTCTACATGTGTATATATCTGCACATTTATGTAAACATACACATTCTTCTTAGGTGTCTTGGGTAGAGAAGAGGAAAATATGAGAAATAAACTTTTTTAAAACACATCAGTTCTTTAATTAGATTCTTTTAAAGAAATTTAGAACACTAATTTGGGAGGATAAACACCATTTATCAGGGCAAACACAGATTGCAGGTAGCCCTGAAGCTGAGAAATAGCTTTGATTTTGCTAAGATTTGCGAGTTCACAGCTTTCTGGTCAATCTTGTACTGCTCTGCAATCTCATATTTCCCTTTTTCTATGTCGAATATCTCACCCTTCTGGTACCTGGGCTTCCACAGCTTCTTCTTGAAGTAAGTATCAGTAAGGTTTTGGAATTTTCACATTGCTGATATCAATTCTTGTGGAGGTGGCAATGAAAATTTTCTGGTGTGTTATTCTCAGAGGAACTCGATTAAGGATCAGAGGTCCAGTCACAAGTAACAAGCCACTGCCCAGTTGCTTCAGGAAAACCACCTTCTTGCCTCTGTGGCGCCCAGTGAGGATGATCAGGATCGTCCCGGGAATGACTCTGGCTCCCAGCTTTTTGCCTTGGTTTAACAGCTTTTGAGGCACATCTTCAGTAGGATAATATCTAGGCATTTTGCAAAGTTTAACCACTCGGGCACCACCATTCTTGTTACCACCAACTGGTTTTGTAACGATTGCAAAAACTTTCTCCTTTTTTTTCTTTTCAACCTTCGATTTAGCTGCTGAGTACTTCCTCTTATACAAGGCCTTTCTGGAATATTTAGCAGATCAGGAATATCTTCCAATTCCTCTGATGAGGACAGGATTTTGGCTGCACTGGGGCTTCCCCTTCTTCAGTTTCTCAGCCTTAGAGTTACCCTTTTTCACCTTGCCACCAGCATCAGACTTCTTGGCTTCAGATTTCTTCTCCTTAGTATCCAGCTTCTCAACTTTCTCACCTGCTGTCTTACAGGATGGGAAAGAGAGACATATACTTTTCTAATGGAAGAATGAAAGGACACAATGAGTCATAAAGAAAACAAGTGTAGTGAGATTTAGACAAAGAATAGACTGG